CAAACAAAACACATTAAAGTTGATTGTCATTTTGTTCGAGAAACAGTGTTGCATTTTGATATTGTCACAAGGTTTGTTAAATCTGGAGATCAACTTGTTGATATATTCACTGTGTCATTAAATAGTCCTCAATATCTGTTCCAATCAAGGATTATATGATATACATTCGCTAGCTTGAGGGGGAGTGTTAGAATGTATAAGTGATATCCATGTAATAATTATATCCCAAGACGGGTATGTTAGTCTTTTCTTTAAATTTAGATACATATATATATGTTTGGTGAGAAATCAATGGGGTCACATGGTCCTTGCAACTTCTTTCTAGTATGAGGAGTACTCTAACATGGAAGCAAAGTTGAGGGTATTAAAGGATGGATTGTGTTTGGTTGAAAGACATGGACTGTCAGACTATCAGCTTCAAATTGAAGCTGATTCTTAGGTTATGGTTCATATGATCTTAAAAGGTCATAAGAGGGCATGGAAATTCTGGGAGCTTTTATGGCAGATTTTGGGTAGACTGGATTTTAGTCTGACTCATGTTTATGGGGAAGCCAATTGCATGGCTGATTTCTTTGCGATGGCTGTGCAGAATGGTTTCTCCTCAGATTCCTGGGCGACGAATATTCCTCTTCAGGCTAAGCTGCTCCTGTTACACGATCAGCAAAGGATCAAGACGCTAAGGAAGAAGACCATCATTTTTTGATTCGTTGTAAAAAGCTTAATGAATTTGTTTGATTCTTGTAATTTGTTTTGAGAAATGCAATAAACTGTTGAATTTTAAAAAAAAATATACATATATATATGAGATGATGGAGAAGGTAGGGCTAACTTCTTTGGCAAACTTATTCTCACGTCTCTCTCTCTCTCTCTCTCTCTCTCTCTCAACATTTACACAACTATGATCATGTTTTGTACTTGAAATACTCTATGCATTTCACGAGGTTTTGATTTAATTGTGACGTACAAGACTATGTTGCTTCAAAGATACATCATGAGTTTTGTTCTGAGATGTGAGGTTGAATGACTTTGTACTTGAGTGTTAAGATTAGGTCTACAGTTAGGTTTGTTTTATGTGATTTTTGAGTGGTAATCTTTAAATTTCTTATTCTTGTATTATGTCACAGAATTGCCAAATGAAGAGATTGTTATGAAATTGAATATTATATTGGTTAATACTACGAGGTCACATGTAAATCTCAACTAAATCTATGATCATGAAGCTACAAAGATTAAAATCGAAAGCAAAGAAGGAAGATAAAGTCCAAGCTACAGAGTCACGTGAAGACTTCCCGAAATACTTCAAAGCTTAGAAAATGTATATGATCTAAAGACCTAGTTACCTAGGTTGTTATTACTTTTGTTAAGTTAGGTTAACTAAAATGGATTTAGGATGGGTTAAGTAAATGACTATTGCTTGTTTTATTGGAAAAAAAAAAATTGAAACTTAAATGTTTTGAAAATTCAAATTGAGTCATGGAACAAACTCTTATTGAGCAATGCCCCTGGGTGCTCGATAGGGCAAGTTTTTGTTGCATTTGAAGCATAAAAACCAGTCTAGCCTATAGCTCGGGCAATCTCTGAACACTTGGGAAAAATTAGAAAAAAGTTGGAAAATTAGACTGAGGCCATAGCCAGCTAGCCGCTCGAGCGGTCTTTTATAGTCCCTGTTCATGAGGCCTAGAATTGTTCCTCGTGACATTCCAGTGACCACCACCCGATGACAACTGGCTCACAGTTTGAGCAGCCCCTCATGAATCTAAGTTTTTTTGCATACCAATTAAACTCTATTTACAAGGCCTACATATATGAGCATGTCTTTTCTCACAATAATAAGCCTCTATAATCAGAAAACAGTCTCATATATTGTCTAGAGAGACAAGAACAAACCCTAACATCCCTAAGCATTCAAAGGCCTTAGATCTTCTAAGATCAATCTTGTTCTAAACCTTCAAACTTGAAAAAAAGATAGATCTAGTAGAAACCCACAAAAACCCACGGTGGTGAGAAGACCTTAGGAAGATTCCAAAAAGATCATGGAGGATTCTAAAGGGCAGGTCATGGAGCCCAGTTGGACGCCTAGAGAAGCTACTACACCAAGACCTCGGGGTGAATTTTCGGAGTAAAGATACAAATGAGAAAAAGTCTTAACCATAGAATTGGTTGAGATATAATACTTTAAACATGTAATCTAAACTCTGACTACAGTGATTAGGTTAGGTAGAGTATGGCCCAGTGGTATTTCCTAGNTCTCTCTCTCTCTCTCTCTCTCTCTCTCAACATTTACACAACTATGATCATGTTTTGTACTTGAAATACTCTATGCATTTCACGAGGTTTTGATTTAATTGTGACGTACAAGACTATGTTGCTTCAAAGATACATCATGAGTTTTGTTCTGAGATGTGAGGTTGAATGACTTTGTACTTGAGTGTTAAGATTAGGTCTACAGTTAGGTTTGTTTTATGTGATTTTTGAGTGGTAATCTTTAAATTTCTTATTCTTGTATTATGTCACAGAATTGCCAAATGAAGAGATTGTTATGAAATTGAATATTATATTGGTTAATACTACGAGGTCACATGTAAATCTCAACTAAATCTATGATCATGAAGCTACAAAGATTAAAATCGAAAGCAAAGAAGGAAGATAAAGTCCAAGCTACAGAGTCACGTGAAGACTTCCCGAAATACTTCAAAGCTTAGAAAATGTATATGATCTAAAGACCTAGTTACCTAGGTTGTTATTACTTTTGTTAAGTTAGGTTAACTAAAATGGATTTAGGATGGGTTAAGTAAATGACTATTGCTTGTTTTATTGGAAAAAAAAAAATTGAAACTTAAATGTTTTGAAAATTCAAATTGAGTCATGGAACAAACTCTTATTGAGCAATGCCCCTGGGTGCTCGATAGGGCAAGTTTTTGTTGCATTTGAAGCATAAAAACCAGTCTAGCCTATAGCTCGGGCAATCTCTGAACACTTGGGAAAAATTAGAAAAAAGTTGGAAAATTAGACTGAGGCCATAGCCAGCTAGCCGCTCGAGCGGTCTTTTATAGTCCCTGTTCATGAGGCCTAGAATTGTTCCTCGTGACATTCCAGTGACCACCACCCGATGACAACTGGCTCACAGTTTGAGCAGCCCCTCATGAATCTAAGTTTTTTTGCATACCAATTAAACTCTATTTACAAGGCCTACATATATGAGCATGTCTTTTCTCACAATAATAAGCCTCTATAATCAGAAAACAGTCTCATATATTGTCTAGAGAGACAAGAACAAACCCTAACATCCCTAAGCATTCAAAGGCCTTAGATCTTCTAAGATCAATCTTGTTCTAAACCTTCAAACTTGAAAAAAAGATAGATCTAGTAGAAACCCACAAAAACCCACGGTGGTGAGAAGACCTTAGGAAGATTCCAAAAAGATCATGGAGGATTCTAAAGGGCAGGTCATGGAGCCCAGTTGGACGCCTAGAGAAGCTACTACACCAAGACCTCGGGGTGAATTTTCGGAGTAAAGATACAAATGAGAAAAAGTCTTAACCATAGAATTGGTTGAGATATAATACTTTAAACATGTAATCTAAACTCTGACTACAGTGATTAGGTTAGGTAGAGTATGGCCCAGTGGTATTTCCTAGAAACGTTTCCATGTTAAAATTGTCTTATGTTGTGATTCTACTGCTTCTCATTACTCTACACACACTTGTAATTTTACACTCAGCACGTGCTTGATGAGACGCCTGAATGATTGATTCATTATATTTATCATCTTGTTGTTGGAATTAGTGGAAGGGCTTTAGAAGGCTAAGGTTGGTGTATTGAACATTGTGGTTGATTGTTAAATCTGTGTCTTTTGCATTCATCCAGCCATTCAAGGATTTGAGCATCTAATTGGGAGCTTTTGAACGTTAGTTGACCAATTAATTAACGATTGAGTGAATTAGATTTTAATTGAGCAAGAATTCTGCATCTTACTAAATGATAAGTCCTAACAAGTGCATCAGTGCGATCCAACTTGCACTCTTAAAATACATCTCTCTAGCTCTGCTCGACTCTTCTTTTTTCTCCTCTTCTACTTTCTAACTGTTTGGAAATCTTGTTACATTCTTCTAATTAATTGGTATTGAAATTGGTGAAAGATGCTGATATTTTTGGAATTCGTGGTATTTACACATTTTTGACATCAATTATAATTTGCTGAAACTTGATGCTAAAAGGTGATTAATTGAGCTACTTATTTCGTTAAATGTTATCTATGTTGTTGAGACGAGCCAAATTTTCTGAAATTTGTTGCATTTAATTGAATTGTCGTATGATTTTTAAAAACTACTTATTATCAACCACGTGTTCTCCTTCGGTAAAGTCAGCGCTTTGCCTCGCACCAAACTCCAAAAGACCTTAGGGCCTTGGTGCAACTTTTGCCCTAAGTAACACTGCCAACAACAATCAGTCCCTGATGGTCCCCTGTTAATGTTGTTTGTCTAAACTAGTGTTGAAGTGCAAAGGACGTGCATCAGCCTCCTACCATAGTTGATGTGCAAAATTGGCTTTCTAACCCTGCCTTTACATTTTGCCATCGTAAACATCTATCAATATTCTAAGCCATTTTACTTTATTTAAATAATTATCATGCAACTGAAAAACAAAATGAAAGAAAAGAACAATCTCAACCAGAAGCCTTCATGCAACCCCTCATAGATGAATTCCACAATAAAATATATCACGTGTTATCCAGTTGTTCAAAATTACAAATGTGTGAGCCCATGAACTGTTGTTCACCTCAATCAAGGAAATTGTTGTGCTACATAAAGGTGATAAGCTTATGTGAAAAGACGCTACATGCATATAGGCAGTCTAACTGACTCAAAATTTAGCATACTGATTATGACTTCAGGTAGATATTGTTGACACACAAAGTACGACCGTTATAAAAAAAGGTCTGAGATTACTATAATACCCAAGGACAAACAATTAGAAACAATCTGAAAATCCACAAGACATCACCTAACCTGCAAAGTCTGGGAAGGAATATGGTCTCTTCTGCACTGATGATCAGTTAACAATGACATTTCCCCAACGAAAGAGTTGTGAAACATGCAAGCCTCTCGTTGCAAGTCCAGAGCCTGTTCAAAAAGATGTACTAACCTTTGTTCAGGTATAATCATTGTAGAGGGAAGCAATTTCTGCAATTCCTTCAGTAGCGCTGACCGTGGCTTGACCCTCGCACTATCTTCAGCATAAATTCCAACAGGTTCACACTGTGAAGGATATATAATACAGGAAGAAAGCTCACGAATTCTATTATTGTTTATGCAAAGAGGTGAAACTTCAGTCCTTAATGTCCTCAAAGCATCCATGACTTTTCCTCCACACAAAAGTTCAAAAAATTTCTGCTCCAGTATGACAAAAGATGCTAACTTAATGATGGTTTCATCCAGTAGACCAATTTTATGCAATGTGGCCACACTTTCATCCCAATTACCATCAAGGATTTGATGTGTAAACAATTTAACTACCGATGAATGTAAGGGTATACCCGACTCTTCCTCTAGATGTACCCCAGTCTTCTTATAGCCAAGAGAATATAAAGCCTCAGCTATTATTCGCACAAGTTCCGCTTTCTTAAACCCTTTGGAACCAACAATCTCGATGTCCCCTTGGGATGGCAGGGGCCAAGCCATCGAATCACTCACTGAGCAACTTGGAGGCTCACTAACAAATTTTCTGTTTGAATGACCTTTCAATTCTCCAGAGTACACTTTTACGCGTTTCGATGGTGGCTCATCATGCTCTACAGCTCCCATGAAACGTACACCTCAGCCCATATATAACTACAACGAGAAAATGCAATGAGCCAGAGGTTTTTGTTAATGTACCTCCAAGAAATCACAAACAATTGATGCATAGCACAGTCAAAGGGGAGGTTATCAACTTACTAATTAGAAGTATGAGAAACAAGAATAAGAAACCAAAAAGGAGTATTAGAATTTAAAAGAGCAACTCAAAAATATATATATCCATGCAAGATGCAAATATAAAATTGCCTGTTGATCACAAACAGTCATACTCATAAACATATCCACATTGCAGACTTCATTGTCCAAGGATTGACTAAACAAAACAAAAGTTTGTGCAATTGCTACACATACAATCTTCTCAAAGACCCAAAAAAAAAGTTCTTCCAAGCTTGGCCTGCTTTTAACCTAAAAAACAACATTCCAAGCTTGAAATTGATTTACGCTAGCTATTACATACAAAGCCTGGTAATGTAGGCTGGCAAAGATTGAATTAATTACCGTGCCTAAGCCAGTTGAGTAGCATAATTGATGGCCAATTTACAAGAATCCTGGGATTTCTGTAATAAGAGGAGAAACATTGTAGTCCCAAGTCCAAAAACTGGAAAATGGAAATAAAGACCCTATACAAATGAATGTTGAACAGGTCTTGAAGATGGCTAGAAACAAAATAAATAACCAAAACTTTTTGAATCTTTGACATATTCTGCAATAGATCCATCACATAACATAAAATCCAATGTAGAGTCAGCAATGTGAATGTCCTCGCAAGGAGCCTCTTCTAAGTCATTAGGAGCCTCTTCTAAGTCATTAGGAGCCTCTTCTAAGTCACTAGGAACCTCTTCTAAGTCACTCATATACAAAGTACAATCATGTTAGATTACAGAAACTATCGAGTAACATTATATTAACAAGTTATTTGAGAAGAAAACTAAGCATACGAAAAGCAAATTTTATCTGCCCGTGGTTGTCAACCTCCCAGCATACACACAACACAACTTTAGTACAGCATACACACAACACAACTTCAGTTCCAACAGAAAAGCAGATTTCAAGAATTTCTGGAAACACACATCAGAAGCAATCAAATTTTAGAAAATCATAAATAAAAGCCAAAAACATGAAATCTGCTAAGGAAATAAACGAAGTTGGTATGAACCCGTGACTAAGACCAGCATAAACTTAAATCTAACTGAAAACCAAAAACATCAGAATATATCAAAGAAAAAATACCAAGAAAATCGAGAAACAGTATTAGTAATTTGGGGACCATAAGCAGCAGATTCTCCGAGAACCAGAAAGGGAATTTGCCTTGGGCACCAATTCAGATCAAAAAGAAAGAGACTTTATAGAACCAGAAATGGATATAAAAGTCTGCAAGTAATAATGGGTTGAAGTAATATGGATAAACCAAATGACCTTGAAAGAAAAACAGATTTGATTTCCTCTGGTCTGTCGGCAGTAGGGGTGTTAAAAGCTGCAATTTCCTATCCTCGTCGACTATATCCGAGTTATAAAACGGTTATTAAAAAAAATCGGGTGAAAATATAATTTAATTTTTAGGATCTTATTTTTTTTTATTAAATTTAAGATATTAATATTAGCTGTTATATTAATTTTGAAATAAAATTTAAAACGATCTGAATTACGAAAAGTAAAAGTCATTTTGTTTATCTTTTAAATTTTGAATTGTAAACTACTTTATTATATAGATAAACTAAAAACCCTAATTCCTTAACTATATGGTTTAAATTTAAAATAATTGTTATTATATTTGTGCAATAATAAGTGTTATTTGTTTATTATGTTGTTAAATTAGTTCNACAGTCATACTCATAAACATATCCACATTGCAGACTTCATTGTCCAAGGATTGACTAAACAAAACAAAAGTTTGTGCAATTGCTACACATACAATCTTCTCAAAGACCCAAAAAAAAAGTTCTTCCAAGCTTGGCCTGCTTTTAACCTAAAAAACAACATTCCAAGCTTGAAATTGATTTACGCTAGCTATTACATACAAAGCCTGGTAATGTAGGCTGGCAAAGATTGAATTAATTACCGTGCCTAAGCCAGTTGAGTAGCATAATTGATGGCCAATTTACAAGAATCCTGGGATTTCTGTAATAAGAGGAGAAACATTGTAGTCCCAAGTCCAAAAACTGGAAAATGGAAATAAAGACCCTATACAAATGAATGTTGAACAGGTCTTGAAGATGGCTAGAAACAAAATAAATAACCAAAACTTTTTGAATCTTTGACATATTCTGCAATAGATCCATCACATAACATAAAATCCAATGTAGAGTCAGCAATGTGAATGTCCTCGCAAGGAGCCTCTTCTAAGTCATTAGGAGCCTCTTCTAAGTCATTAGGAGCCTCTTCTAAGTCACTAGGAACCTCTTCTAAGTCACTCATATACAAAGTACAATCATGTTAGATTACAGAAACTATCGAGTAACATTATATTAACAAGTTATTTGAGAAGAAAACTAAGCATACGAAAAGCAAATTTTATCTGCCCGTGGTTGTCAACCTCCCAGCATACACACAACACAACTTTAGTACAGCATACACACAACACAACTTCAGTTCCAACAGAAAAGCAGATTTCAAGAATTTCTGGAAACACACATCAGAAGCAATCAAATTTTAGAAAATCATAAATAAAAGCCAAAAACATGAAATCTGCTAAGGAAATAAACGAAGTTGGTATGAACCCGTGACTAAGACCAGCATAAACTTAAATCTAACTGAAAACCAAAAACATCAGAATATATCAAAGAAAAAATACCAAGAAAATCGAGAAACAGTATTAGTAATTTGGGGACCATAAGCAGCAGATTCTCCGAGAACCAGAAAGGGAATTTGCCTTGGGCACCAATTCAGATCAAAAAGAAAGAGACTTTATAGAACCAGAAATGGATATAAAAGTCTGCAAGTAATAATGGGTTGAAGTAATATGGATAAACCAAATGACCTTGAAAGAAAAACAGATTTGATTTCCTCTGGTCTGTCGGCAGTAGGGGTGTTAAAAGCTGCAATTTCCTATCCTCGTCGACTATATCCGAGTTATAAAACGGTTATTAAAAAAAATCGGGTGAAAATATAATTTAATTTTTAGGATCTTATTTTTTTTTATTAAATTTAAGATATTAATATTAGCTGTTATATTAATTTTGAAATAAAATTTAAAACGATCTGAATTACGAAAAGTAAAAGTCATTTTGTTTATCTTTTAAATTTTGAATTGTAAACTACTTTATTATATAGATAAACTAAAAACCCTAATTCCTTAACTATATGGTTTAAATTTAAAATAATTGTTATTATATTTGTGCAATAATAAGTGTTATTTGTTTATTATGTTGTTAAATTAGTTCATGTTATTTAATTGAATTGTTAAAATGATTCAAAAATTAATAACTACAAAAGTGTTCATCCGATTTCCTACCCAACTTCCTATCCGATTAATTTAGCCGGAAGTTGGGTAAGAATATCACACTTAATCGGGTAGGGTAGGGTAAGAAAACATTCTTCTGCAAAGTATCGAGAAGAAATACGGAAGACCATATTTGTTACCTGTAGGGTAGAGTGAACACCCATAGTCGGATGTCTAACACTGATTCAAATGCTCTATTGCTATTTGATATGTGTGTAGATGGCAAATAAAGGAAGAGGACATGGCCAAGGCAGTGGACGGAACAACAACCAACCACCACTAGTTTTTGACCAACAAGCCTTCATGGAGGCTATTGGCACGATGACAGCTACCCTTGCACAGACTGGTGCCAATGTGGCCAAGGAGACACAAGTAAACTCTAGAAGTTTAAGGCACACAAGCCTCCGACTTTCATGGGAGGGGGTGGATTCGATGATGGGCAACTATTGATTCCAACAAGTCGACAAGATCTTAGAGGCTATGGAGATCACCTCCGATGCCGCTAAGATAAGGCTAGCTGCATTCCAGCTAGAATGAGAAGTCCATATGTGGTGGGATTGGGCAAGGGCCTCGAAGAATCTAGAGGCAATGTCATGGGAAGTGTTCTAGGAACTCTTCATGGGCAAGTACTTTCCATCGGCTGTTCGACATGCGAAAGCCCAAAAGTTCTTGAATTTGAAGCAAGGGACTATGACGGTGATGGAATACGTGGCTAAGTTCACTGAGTTAGTCTGTTTTGGCAATGATTACATGGTTACAAACATGGCTAAAGTAAGAAGGTTCGAGGATGATTTGAAATTGTCCATTCGGGAAAAGATTGTGGGCCACTGCCTATAGGATTTGGACTGGATGGTCGAGACAGCTATGACCATTGAACGAGAGGAGGACGACACAAGAAGCATCCGGTAAATGGATGCTAAGGATAAGCAGAAGGAAGGTCAATCCTCTTCTTCGAGTTCGGAGAAGAGGCAAAGGACTTCGAATCTGCAAGGACAACTAGGATAGGGCTATGGCTATCAAGGCCAAGCCCAATCCTCCCAAGGCGGGGGAAACTTCAAGACCCCTTATTAGGTAGGTCAGAGGACTTGGTACTTATGCCACCAACGGGGTCACATGAAGCGAGATTGTTCTTAGAGGCAGGGATCCCAAAGCTATGGGGCATCTTAGTCCCATTTATCGATGGGCATGCTAGTGTGAACCCGTGGAGATAAAGCTCCTTAAACCCACAAATAAGTTGATTCAAACCCAAGAAAGCTGAAATCAAGTGGAAAAGGAAAAATCCCCAAGACCCAATGAAAACTTGTCTCAAGAAACCTTGGTTCGAAACCCAATACCCAACGAGAACCTATCTCGAGAAACCTTGGTTGCAAAGAGGCGCCACAAAGGTTGCAAGCCTTTGATTAGCCAAGTACTCACAAAAGAATAAGAGGAGAAAACTTACTAAGGTAATAAAAAAGAATGTTGGTTTTCATTGGGTTATTGATCAAGAAAATGCTTTCAAAATTGTTAAAGATAGATTGTTTTACACATGTTTTAGCACTTCCTAACTTTAACAGAACTTTTGAAATTGAGTGTGACGCCTCAAGATTGGGTATTGGAGCTATTTTAATGCAAGAAAAGCAACATATTGCCCTCTTTAGTGAAAAGCTAAGTGGAGCGGTTTTGAACTACCCTACCTATGACAAGTAATTATACGCTCTTGTCTGTGGGTTGGAGACGTGGCAACACTACTTGTGGCAGAAGGAATTTGTGATACACATTAACCATGAGTCTCTAAAGCATCTCAAAGGACAAGGTTAGTTGAACAAAAGGCATGCAAGATGGATGAAGTTCATAGAAACTTTTCCCTATGTCATTTGATACAAGCAAGGTAAGGAGAATGTAGTGGCCGATGCATTATCTCGAAGGAGAATAAATGGAGTTCACATACTCATTTCATTCCTCCCTACCCCATCATGGGCCAGGAAAAGTCAGTTTCAGTTTTAGGGTGCTGCACAGGCCCCTACTAATTCATATGTAGGGACTCCGCAATCTGGTCAGATAGGGTAGGGCATAGGCTAAGGCTGGGGACATGGCTTTCAAGTAGGGACTTCGGGGACCCAGGGGCGTGTCTACGCCATCACACCTTAGATTGAGCCAGTGGATCAGTCAATTTTTCAGGGTACATTTCTATTCTCTCACTTATGGGCAAGGGTATTATTTAATTCTAGTGCATCTCATTCATTTATTTTTACATCATGTGTGAGGGACTTGGGCTTAGAGGTTAAGACCTTGAAAGAGCCATTACATGTGAATTCTCCCCTAGGAGCTAGGGTGAGTGTTGATTAGATATGTTAGGGTTGTGAGTTAGAGATCTCGGGGATTCTACTCACTGTGGACCTTAGAGTAATGGATATGTCAGAATTTGATGTTATCCTTGGGATGGACTGGTTGACGGTACATCGAGTTATGATTGATTGTGATCAGAAGAGAATTACTGCCTACACACTAGATGGTGTTTGTTTCAAGTTTCAGGGGGATAAATATAATGTTTTACCCCAAGTAGTGTATAATTCCTGTTGGCCCGGGCAGTTTATGGGCTAGCTTGCGAACCTTACCCTGGAGGACGAGGCGAGATAGGAGTTGGGTTTTTCTCGGGTGGTTTTGTGAGTATGAGGACATTTTTCAGAAGAACTACCGAAATTACCTCCACATAGGGATGTAGACTTTACTATTGAGTTGCACCCCGGTACATCGCTCATTTCTATGACTCTGCATAGAATGACACTTGTAGAGTTGTAAGAACTCAAGGTCCAATTGTAAGAATTGATGGACAAGGGCTTCATTAGATCGGGTACCTCACCTTGGGGCGCTCCGGTGTTGTTTGCCAAGAAGAATGATAAGACTCTTCGTCTATGGATAGACTATTAGTAGTTGACTCGGGTTATTATCAATAATAGATACCCTTTGTCGATGATTGATGATATGTTCGATCAACTGAGAGGGACGCGAGTCTACTCCAAGATAGATAAACACGCGGGTTACCATCAG